CGGGCTTCACTATCTCGCCATGTTTAAGCTTTTTCAACGAATATTTTTTGCAGGTTTAACAAAAGAATTTTTTCACGTTCAAGCTTCGTATGTTGCAATGTTTAAGGTTTTGTTTTCAATTTTGCTGTTTAAATTCAGTTTTTATTTCATCAAGTTTGAAATTAGCAACCCAATACTAGGATATTGTCTGAGTTTTCCCAGGTTTTGCGGTTGTGGCCTCCATATATGCTTAGCCAAATCCTTTTCGTTTACGAGATAGGCAATTTTCGAGATTTTTCAAAAGTTTCTAGAAAATTTAATTTTCAAAAGCTTCTCAATTTTTGAAATTCTCACCCTGCAGTTGGTTGCTGTCAGGATACTCTCAGGGCTTGCAAATCTTGCCTCCAATTCTCACTTCTCAAATCCTTGTAGTTTTCAAGATATGATGGTTTTTATGATTTTTCAAAAAATTTTCAAAAACTTAGAATTTAAAGTTTTTCCAAATTGAGGATCTCAATCCTGTTGTTGGATTTTGTGAGGGTACTCTCAGGGTTTGCGAATCTTGCCTCTGATTATGGCTGCTCAAATCCTTGTAGATTTCGAGATATGAGGTTTTTTAGGATTTTTTCAAAATTTTTCAAAACTTAATGATATAAAATTTCGCAAAACTTGAAATTATTATCTGTGTAGTGAGGCTCTGACAGGGTACTTTCAGGTGTTGCGAATTTTTCCTCCCAAAATGACTCCTCAATTTCTTGTAATTTTTGAGATATGACGTTTTTTTTGGTTTTTTATTTTCAAATTATTTCTCAGAAAACTTAATGATAAAATTTTTTAGCAAAACTTGAAATTTTTATCTCTGTAGTGGGTTCTGTCAGGGAACTCTCTGGAGTTGCGAATTTTGCCTGCAAATAGGACTGCTCAAAATCGTGCAGTTTTCCAGATATTACGTTTTTGTGATTTTTTTCTGTGAAAATTAAACTGATTTTTTGTGAAAATTAAATATTTTTTCAAAGTTTGAAATTCCTAGCCTGTAGTTGGGGGGCTGTCAGAGTAATCTCGGGGATTGCAAATTCGGCCTCCATTTAAGAATGCCCAAATCAATTTTGTTTGAGAGATACCACGATTTGTGTGATTTTTTGGAAATTTTCAGAAAACTCAAATTAAAAAATAGTTCGTTAAAGTGAAATTCCCAACCCTGTAGTTCTCTACTTTCAAAGATTGCGAATTTTGCCATCAAAGAAGACTGCTCAAATATTGATTGTTTCGAGCTTAGAAAACTTAAGGTGAAGTTTCTCAAAATATGAATTTCTCAACGTTGTAGTTGGATACTGTAAGAGTACTCTCAGGAGTTGCAACTCTTGCGTCCAAATGCGACTGCTCAATAGCCCAGATGTGACGTTTCTTAGTTCATTTTAAGTTTTTCGAAGAACTTTTTAAAAATTTCACAAAATATTATGGTTCTGCAAAATTTGTAATTACGAACCTTGTTATTGGGTACTGTCAGAGTACTGTCAAGGATTGCGAATCTTGCCTCCAAATATGACTGCTCAACTCTTTGTAGTTTTCGAGATATCATGTTTTTTGTAATCTTTACAAAATTCTTCATAAAATTTTAATTATTTCTCAAAATTTGATATTCCCAACCTTATAGTTGGGTACTGTAAGAGTACTCTCAGGAGTTGCAACTCTTGCGTCCAAATGCGACTGCTCAATTGCTTTCAAGTTGCCAGATGTGACGTTTCTTAATTCATACTACTTCTTTTAGAAAACTTAAGGTGAAGTTTCTCAAAATTTGAATTTCCCAACGTTGTAGTTGGGTACTCTAAGAGTACTCTTGGGAGTTGCAAATCTTTCGTCCAAATGCGACTGCTCAATTGCTTTCAATTTCCCAGATGTGACGTTTCTTAATTCTTTATAAACTTAGATATAAAAAAATGTCACAAATTTTTATCGTTTTTCAAAATTTGAATTAAAAAAAAACGAATGAAAAACTTTACAAAATTTGAAGTTACTATCAGGAGTTGCAAATCTTGCGTCCAAATGCGACTCCTCAATTGCTTTCAGTTTCCCAGATGTGACGTTTCTTAGTTCATTTAGAATTTTTCGAAGAACTCATATAAAACTTGACAAAATTTTATGGTTCTTCATTTTGTTTAAAAAACTTGAGTTAAAAACTTTGCACACACAGTCAGAGTACACTCAAAGAAAAGTTTTTTTTTTAGTTGTTGAAAATTCGAAGCACCGGACGTGCGTTACACGCTAGTTCAGCTGAAGTTTAACATCATCGTGCACATAAAACGCCCATCCACCACCTCGTTGATACTTTCGGTGCGTAGAAATTAAGGGATGGTGGCCATCAAGATGATAGAGATTGAGATAATCATTATCACACAGCCAAGTTTCGCAAAGTGCAATAATCAAAGGTTTTTGTTGTAAATGATTAATATCTATAACGAGTTGGTCATGATGGCTTCTAAGGGACCTTATATTTAAAAAGTATTAAAAAAAATTTTCAAGTCTTCCATAAGACATTCTTTAACATTTCTCTTTATATCAAACTAAAAAAAAAAACTTCAGTCAAGTTGATTCAACTTATTTGTTAGCGTCTTCTGTTAATTTTTTTTTCTACATTGAGCGCTTCCGATTCCTCTTCAATATTCAATTTCTTTGAGGCCTGATTAACAAAATTCAATATTTCTGGCGATAAATTCCTCTCTGACCATCTCCTCGAAATACCAGGAGTTGAATTTGTATTTAGGTGAGCGCCCATATGGCGCCCAGTATTGAAGGTTTTATGAACTGCTTGAGGATATTTGTGAGATCCTGGTCGATTTAGATTGATGTTTTTTGGCTGCAATATAAGCTAGTTAATAAAATGAGCCATTTGGTCGTTGGTAAAAAATTTCACTTGGCAGTTATGAGTCGTTGTAATAAGATTCATGTCATCGGATTTCCTTTAATATTCATATCTGATTTCGGCAAACGTTCATTTATGTATCATGTTTTTCCCGGTACACCCTTCTGCCCAGATAACATACACCTCCCTCCGAAAATCTCATCTTTGTCCGAAAAGTAGACAAATTTCAAAATAATTGGAACGTTCTTAACAGATTCTTTGCGCGTCGGAAGAGGATGACATGGCTTGATAGCTGCCGGTGATAACAAATAGCCACCAAAGTAATGGTAATTTATGCTGCAGATGTCGGAAATCAGGTTGGGGGAGTATGGGTTGATATCAAAATTCGAAAAAAAAACAATCTTTGCTCGAATATCTTTCCTGAAAATTCACTCGCTTTTGGAGATCAAAAACATGATTTTTTAAGTCAATTATTTACTGGGTTCTTTCATTTAATAAATTTCCAAGAGATCAACTCTTGTCAAAAGGCTAGTGATAATAGGAATCATTAATTTAGGGTCAATATTGGAATCTGGGTGAAGTTTTCCAACGAAATTTTTTGGATTATTTTCGGCCATTTTGGTGAAGATCAAAGAATTCAAGCAATAAATCCGAATGAAAAAGCTCAACAGTAAGAGCGACTAATCTCGAGAGTTCATTATCTGTTCTGTTCTGGAAGATTCTTATAGATGTTTTTTTTTTTTCATTTTCGTTTATAGTTTTGAAGACATTGGCAGTCGTTCATTTTTAATTCATCAATTTTATACGCGTTCGGATAGCTCTATTATCACACTAAACACAACAAAAGACACTAATTTGAAGAAAAAAAACTGGCACAGCAGCTAATTTGAAGAAAAAAAACTGATTCATTTATGTATCATGTTTTTCCCGGTACACCCTTCTGCCCAGATAACATACACCTCCCTCCGAAAATCTCATCTTTGTCCGAAAAGTAGACAAATTTCAAAATAATTGGAACGTTCTTAACAGATTCTTTGCGCGTCGGAAGAGGATGACATGGCTTGATAGCTGCCGGTGATAACAAATAGCCACCAAAGTAATGGTAATTTATGCTGCAGATGTCGGAAATCAGGTTGGGGGAGTATGGGTTGATATCAAAATTCGAAAAAAAAACAATCTTTGCTCGAATATCTTTCCTGAAAATTCACTCGCTTTTGGAGATCAAAAACATGATTTTTTAAGTCAATTATTTACTGGGTTCTTTCATTTAATAAATTTCCAAGAGATCAACTCTTGTCAAAAGGCTAGTGATAATAGGAATCATTAATTTAGGGTCAATATTGGAATCTGGGTGAAGTTTTCCAACGAAATTTTTTGGATTATTTTCGGCCATTTTGGTGAAGATCAAAGAATTCAAGCAATAAATCCGAATGAAAAAGCTCAACAGTAAGAGCGACTAATCTCGAGAGTTCATTATCTGTTCTGTTCTGGAAGATTCTTATAGATGTTTTTTTTTTTTCATTTTCGTTTATAGTTTTGAAGACATTGGCAGTCGTTCATTTTTAATTCATCAATTTTATACGCGTTCGGATAGCTCTATTATCACACTAAACACAACAAAAGACACTAATTTGAAGAAAAAAAACTGGCACAGCAGCCGGATATCCTTGTTTCCATAAGTAATTATTTGATCAAATATTTCCTGAATATATATTTTACAAAATTTTCTGCCCAGAAAATAAACGTTATAGAAAATGCAAGCCTAAATTTTTTGTTTAATTTTTGTCACTATTGTAATTTGGGTAATTTAATTAGTTCAGACCCGAAGCTTAATTTTTTTTGACGAATTTAGCACAGACTGAAATTATTCGGGCTATCCAAATCAATATTGCGAATCTCAAAAGCAGAACCAAATTCTGATCCAACTCCAGGTTGCATTTGAGCCGGAAAGAGAGGGAAAATTTTGTAAATTTAAAGGGAGAAATTGTTAACAGAAGTAGATTTAGGTTTAATCATTAGTGTGAAAAGAGTATAGTGTCTTAGAAAGAAAGTTCTACGATATTTTACCAACTTTATTTTCATCCCGTCTTTACTGAAGTTTTTTTGTTAATTTCGGCTGTGCTTTTCCTAATGATGGAGTTTTTCAAGTTTCATGTGTTTCAGAAAATGTTTGATGATAGATTTATTTAGTTGATAAATGGATACAATACAGAGGAAATTATTCCAAACAACATTTGAACGGTAAGAAATCATTTTGATGTGATTTGAACATCTTTGTAGGTAGAAAATGTTCTTGCCCGATGTCATCGAGACTGCTAAATTACTCATCGTTTACTTAAACAATTCTACAGTGTTGTAGATAAGTAAACTCATTCTTAGACATATTTAATTTACGTTGAAGCAAGAACTTCTTGTGGAATAGTTTTGAATGAAATATGTCTTGCATATTTAGCCAGATTGCATAGCAATATAGCGTTGTATATTTAGCCTCTTTGAATCGGCGTAAATGTCTGCCGACGTTGAGAATCTGAAGTCGGACATCCGGAGTGTGCTGCTGGCATCGAAGGATGGAGTGCCGGCCCATATATTCAACCAGGAGTTCTCCGAGATGACGATGGAGACTCTGGATGTAAGCAAGTATGGATTCGCAAGTGTGCACCAACTGATGTGTGCCATCCCAGACACAGTGAGGATTGTGAGTGAGGCCGGAGGAGGAGTGGTGTACAAAGTGGTGGACAATGAAGCAACGGCCAAACTATCCCAGCTGGTCTCAAAACAGAAGTCGAAGAAGCGACGAGGAGGAGGAGGAGGAGGCGGTGGTATGAGCAAAGGGGGCAGAGCTAGACCGACGGCCATCCACAAACCTCCAGTACATAACCGCTTCTCAAAGCCGACTCCCAGAAATTCCACAGCTTTTAGTCATCCTTCGTACAACAACTCGAGGACTATTGTTGCAAGCTCCTCTGCTTACTCTACAAATGGGCGGACAGGAGTATTGGGAAATGCAAATTCAAGACTGAATGCAGCCGGGGGACTCTATGCAAGTGTAAATACATGTGTAGATGGTGCAGCATGGGATATGTCTGGTCTGAGTCGGAATCTTCCTTTTCTCAGTGAACGGCACTCGCCCAGCGAGAGAATGAAAGGTCGACTGGGACCCATTCCAGCTGATAACTATTGCAATGAACAGCAATTATCTTCAGTCTCCAATCACACTCGCTATTTCCAACAAATACCAGCTGAGCTGAACCGGTTAGTTTCCTGAATCTTTTCCCTAGAATTTCAAAACATTTTGAGAAATGTCATATGCTTGTGGCACATGGCTAATTATGGCTTTTTCTTTCTCAATTCATTTCATTTCTTATTGCTTCTTATGCAAAAAATGAAATCTTAGTCTCATGAGGGATGTGCTAGTGTGCTAGCCCGCAAATCGGCAATAATTTTTTTTATACGATCCCTTCTCGAGGAACGCTTCTAACGCTATAGTTGTTTGACGTTGTTGCAGCTATTTATCGGCTCGGTAAGAATGCCCCAGTTCTATAATTAGCTTTTCTAACTCTATTGAATTTAAATCTCAAAAACACCAATTGTTTTTTTTTCCTTGTGACCTCACTTGTTCGTCTTGAAGCTTCATTTTCATCGAAATTGCAAAAAAAAACTCATGAGCCCAGATACTAACAAGAGTAGCCGTAATTACTGTGCAAGTAGCTCAGAGTGTCCGATCACAGTCATCTGAACACAACAAACTGACTTGGGAGCTGGGGAGGAGGAGTCTCTTCTGTTGCTTCAAACGATATTAACCTGACCAATTCATATTAACTCTCGAGAATATTTTAAACGTTAATTGAGAAATTGTTTGGACTTTTTTGCCTTTCACATCACGGTACAAAGAGCTTGATTATGGTGTATTGTTCGATCGATGCAATCTAACGTTCTTTTGGGGTACGTGGATTTGCATGAAAAAAGTGCCTTCCCACTTCGAACATCATCAGAAGAGTTATCATCTATATAGATAGAATGAGTTCGTATGTGTAGAACATTAAAGCGTTTTCAGTCGAAATTTGAACGTTCTGAAAACTTTTAAAGAACTGTGTAAAAAACAACGTGGATAGTAAAAATTAGATCTGCAGTTTTACTTTTGCTTCTATTAATCTTCGTTTTTACACAATCAAAGCTTGTGTTATAGTATGAACTCTCTTTGTTTCCAACCTAAGTCGCAAATATTGTTGCGACAAAATGTGTTCATTTTGAAAGTGTTCATTTTGATCAATAACCAGTACAGCCAATGCAAGGATATTAACACAGATTATTATACTACAAATAGCCTTATAGCTTCAAGGTCTCATGGATCTGTAGCGTAGAGGTACGGAAGGAGACTCGCAACAAAATAAGAGGGTTCGAACCTGGGCAGGGTCGGATGTTTTAATGAACTTTTTCGTATACCACTTAAAATGCGTCCGCTCTATAAATTAAGACATGTTATTTGGTAAATTTCCTTTTTATCAAATTGACTGGTACTTCTTATGCGTCATAATTGGCTTGCGTCATTTAGCAATTATGTAGACTCATAATTGAAGTACGTCCTTTAAGAAGTTTTGTTGAATCAGTTTTTCCCAATAGCGTTATCGGTCATATTTTAGCTTTTGTATGCGAAGTGCAACTCCGCCTCTGTGTATTTTAGTATTTTTAACCCTGCGATAAGCAAGGGTATGACTATCGAGTGATAGATTTAAGAATGGTAAATTTAAAGACATGCTCAATTTTTTGAACGGGAACGAGTGTCTTGTAATCGCGAACTAGACATTTTCCGGAAAAAACTTTTGTTACATTTCTTCAACGTGTTTTATTGAGCCTTAATAACTGCCAATGTCCTTTCCAATTGTTTTAGAGGTAATTCCGTAGCCTTTGCACCCTATTTTCTGCATTTCAAGTCCTGATCGGACCTTGTTTTTACAGTGTGTATGCAATTGAAAAATTTTCTCCTGTAAATGTTGATATGTCGGACTTTCGGTTGTGTGCTCAAGTTTTGTCGGTTTAGTTACTTTATCTATGATTTCGCTTGTGCTGTTAGGAGTTTTCATTGTAGTTGCAAGTGTTGTTCAATGTAGTTTCAGGAGGGACTTGAAGCTGTTTAAATTTTTTTAAATTTTTTTTGGCGGCCCTATTGTCTGCTCAAAGATCGTCGGCTCCTTGCCAGATAACATATTCTCTTCTGCTGTGAGCAATGTTCATTGTAGTTGGAAGTGCAAGTGTTGTTCGTTGTAGTTTCAGAAGGGATTGGAGTTTTCAATAAATATAGATAAAGAAATACTTTTTTTTCGGATAAACTTGTCTGCTCAAAGCTTGCCGGCTTCGTTAGTATTGTTTCGTTGCTAATTTAATAGTCAAATGTCTGGCAAGTTTGCCCAGGATAAAATTCTATCGAGTATTCAGAATTCTATTTTCAGTAATTTTTTTGCGAGGCCAAATTAAGTCTGTCTGTCTGTATACCTGCTTTTTTAAATTAATTTGATTATGTTGTCTACCCGTCTCCTAATTTTTTAATTTTCTTCTATTAAATCTGTTATCTATTATATATTTCAATGCGGGCTTCACTATCTCGCCATGTTTGAGCTTTTTCAACGTGCTTTTTTGCATCTTTAACAAAAGAATTTTTTAACGTTTAAGCTATATCGTATATTGCAATGGTTAAGGTTTTTTTCGATTTTGAGTTTAAATTCAGTGTTTATTTCATCTAGTTTGAAATTAGCAAACCAATAGTGGGATGTTGTCCCAGTTTTTCCCAGGTTTTGTTATTCTGGCCTCCAATTTTGAATCGCCAAATTCATTTAGTTAACGAGATAAGACGATTTTGGTGATTTTTTCAAAACTGAATTTACAAAATAATTTAAAAAACTTGAAATTCCCAACCCTGTAGTTGGGTGCTGTCAGGGTACTCCCAAGGAGTGGAAAATCTTGCCTTATGCGACTGATTAAATGCTTTTAGTTTTTGAGATAGACGTTTTTTATGATTTATCAATTTTTGTCGGGAATCTTAAATTTAAAAAAATATCACGAAATTTGAAATTTCCAACCGTATAGTAGGGTGCCCTCAGTGTTTGCAAATCTGGTCTCCAATTTTCTTCAGAGGCCCATTAAGTTTTCGAGATGACGCTTTTATGTTTTTTCAAAATGGGAATTAAATAGTTTGAAATTACCAACCCTGTAATTGAGTGCAGTCAGAGTACACTAAAAGTTTGCAGATCTTGTTTCCAATATATGCGGTTTTTCATGAGTTGTTGAAAAAATTCGAAGCACCGGAGGTGCGTTAAACGCTAGTATTGATAAAACATTCCACTGTAAATCAGAGGTCCTTGTTTCTGCAAAAACGTGCCTACTAATGCTATAAATGATAGGCGTCGGCAATTGTTAGTAGTTTTTGGGTTGTGAGTCGTTCGGCCACAACTTCGATCTCATAATGGCTACTGTGAGCTCGGAATATACAGTTAAACAATTTCAGAAATAGTTGATAATGAGGAAAACTAGATTTACATCGCCCCACATCTGTTTTCATCTGTTTTCATGGGAGATATATAACAGTTCATCCAATCTTACTTAATCTTTTTCCTTTTAGGTGTTTTTGTCTTCGTTTTCGATCCAGCTAAATGGCTCAAAAATGGATATTTATTTTTCATATTCAACTTGATTTTTCATCGACGAACGCCGTGGAGACACTTACACACACTCAGGGGCGGATCTAGGATTTTCTCGAGGGGGGGCGGATTTTCAAAAAAATTCGAAAATTTTGACGACCTTTTTTTTTAGGTCGACCAAATTGATTTTTTGAGCTCTCCCAAAGCACTGTTTTGCCCCTATTTTGGCTAAATTTTCTGCGCCGCAGGCAAATTTTTGAAAAAACAGTAAAAAAAACCGTTTTTGGGCACTTTTTGAAAAATTTTGACAAAAAAATCGCGTTTTTTTGGCGCGCGCTCCCCCTCAAAGTTAATATATATTGGCGCCAAAGGCGCCTTTACAAAAATTTTAGGGTCGGTCGGCCAACAATGGATTTCTGAAAAAGTATCAAAGGGGGGACCCTTTGGGTCGGCAGGGGGTCGAGTCCCTGAGGGGGGGGGGGGGGGGGGGGGGGGCGTCCGCCCCTGTACACACTTGCTTGCAAATTCAAATGTTCACTCTCTAAGCTGTCTGTTTTTCAGGACCAATTTGAACCACATTTCATGGGAGTTTCGGCAAAAAGTTACATCGGCCCAGAAGAGGTGATCTCAAATAACGGCATTGAACATTTCATTCTCACTGATGCAATAAGTTTTTGAGCTTTTAAACTGGCGTTTTTGAAGCCGGACTAGAGTGGTAATGTTTGAATCCGGATGCTGATTCTTTCAGAGATGGTAGCTGAAATCATTTGCTCTGGGTGATGTGAAAAATGAAGTGGAAGTTTTAATTGAAACCGTTCCAAATGATCTTTAAGAATAGGTATTTCACAGAGTAAAAACTGGGTTTGAATGTGTCTTCTAGTGTAGGTCGTGTTGAATTTTCATGCATAGTGGTGGTTGCAACCGTGTACTAGATTTTTTCCCGTAAATAACTTGTTTCACAGGATGAGTGAATTTGTTGGCCATCTGCCAAATCATTAACCAGCAGACATATTTTGATTATGTCTGTGTTTTAATTGCCAGTTCTTTTCCAAGTTTATGTTGGTTGTAGTTTTACCAACTCCGATTTCAGTTAATCGCTTTTTTGTTTTTTTTTTGTCTGGCTTCGGCGTATACCATATCGTCTTGGTGACCTCATTTTACATTGTGTGATGAGCAAAAAAGTTCTTATCTAAATGTTTTGATTAGGGACTTAAGTTTTTTTGAGTTCTCGTTTGATAAAAACAAGTATTACAAAAATGCATGATATTAAAATGCATTAATTTTATTTCAAAAATGGTACTAATGGAAAGACCGGCTACTACCTTGTGTGCTTTTTGTGTAGTCTCTTTTTTAATCACTCAACTTACTACGGCTTTAACAATTTGAATGGGAGAATGTTTGTGACTTTTTTCGATTTTTTCTTTTCTCAGGAAACACCCTCATTAATCTTAGATTGAGGTTTCGATCGAAGAAACGGTTGTTGGGGTTTTCTTAAAACAAGTTAAAGCTCTAGGAAAATGTCGTTTTTGTCGGTTTGACTTAGTTTGTTTGTGAGGCTTTTCAACTTCTCAAAACTAGCCGCCTAAATCTGAGAATGAGGGTGGTTCATTCGAAAGAAGTTCTCATGGAAAACTTCCCTGCATAAAAAGGCTACGACCTACCTTTTGGCGAAAAAAATTATAGTAAAGGCGAGTTTTTGTCAGTTTGACCGTTTTAAAAATGGTTCTAGGGATCTTCTGTGCATGAGCGTTAATTCCCTAATATCGGTGGGGAAACTTCCACGGAATTGAGAAATGTTCAAATTTTAAAACTTTCATAGTTTTTATGAAAGTTCGTTTTTTTCTCAATCGGATAATTTTGTATGGCATTAGCATACAATTATGTTTCAAAATTTTCTGTTTTTGGCATGGAAGTTTGCATCTTTGTCCTTCAAGGTTTTTCATAAGCGAAGTACGCAAGATAGCGTGTAAGAATGCAGGTAAACTAATTAACACCGTGCATGGGACTTACTGATACAAGTCATAGCAGTATAATCTTGCTCGCAGCTCAACTGCTCGATTTTTGAAAGAATTCGGCAACTCATATAAATTAACGGCTTTTAAAAAACTAGTTAAACGCTAAAATGAACTGCGCGGCCATACTTGGCAGCGTTTGTAGCTTCACGACAGGTCGTATGTGTTCCTAAGTTACAGTTTTGCGCTATCCTCTTGCGATCAATTTTGTGTCTGAAGCATTATGAGGTCCTTCTTAACTTTCACCTCATCCCCATTAATTTTTTCGACTCAACAAGTCTTCTCAGGTATCGTCTACTTTGTTATTGCTTGTTAGTTATGTTTCGATGCTATTTTAACATTTAATTGTTTTGCTTGGGATCCTTTTTTCAAAATGAAAGGAAAAATCAAGACAACAATATGGAACTTTCGGTAGAATGTTTTTTTTTCGACTTGTGTATGTAATTTTTCTGCACTTTTGATCAACGTTCTGTCGATTTGTATTTTTTGTCTCAAGCTTTTTAAAATGTTTCAGCAAATCTGTTTTTGGTTCGTTTAGGATAGCTGCTCGTCTATAGATTGCTGTATGGGGTTGTGAAAGCAGACATACTAAAAAGTTTAGGTGCCTGATAACAGAATCACACGAATCATTCGATGGATTACATTATTTTGAATTCAGATGTCTTAGCTTCTCTGGCGCACTAATTCTTGAGGTAATAAGTGCGCCTGGGACCGCGAACATCATTGGTTCGAATTTGACAACTATCTTTTTCTAAATGTTAACTTAGCTTCAGCCTTTTGTTTGTCTGCTTATGCTTTGTCCTCTAAGTTGCCCCATCACGCATTTTTCTTGCGCTGTAGGTGATGTTCTTTTTAGTTTAAAGTGTTTTGATTTAACCCGGTTAATGATAAACTAAATCTTCAAATTAATTTTCTTTCTGTTTTTTTTCGCATAGGCTTTTTGGCCTCAAAAATTCCGATTTATCTTTCAGTGGCTTAGTGACCCTAATTTGCGTAATTTGAAAGGAAAGTAAATTTTCACTTTGTGTGTTTTTTCAGAGGGATAAATTTAGATTTTCAGAATTTTCAAGTTTTTATGAGGACATTTTTGTTTGTGTGTCATCTGGAGCTTACAATTGTTTCGGTCTTTTTACCGCTCGATTAATGTTTCTGAATGCTCATTTCACACCGGTGATTGTTTTTTGACGTGTTTTCCTCAAATTAAACATCACGGAAGACAAAGCTTTGATGTTTTTGCAGTTTTGGTTTTTCAAAATTTTTTCATTTTTTTTCGACCTAGTGGCTTTTTTATGATTTTTTGTTTCCTAGCTTGCGATTTTACGTTTGTGTGATATCCCTAGTGGCACGCTTTGCCTCTGTTTTAATATTTTGTGGCAATTGAAAGTATCCAAAAACGCTTTGATTTCTCATTTTGCTTTCTCTTCATGTAATAGTCTGTTACTAGACCTCTTTGTTACTAGATGTTTTTAGTTATGATTAGAGTTTTCTATAAATTTTGAAAATAAAAAAGGCCCTTTTTCCTCCCCCCCCCCCCCACCTGCAAATTTTTATATTTGCTGTTCACTTTGTCCGATTGTCATGAAAATTGCCATGCAGACTAATTACGCCATGACAAACATTTGGTCTTCATAATTAACCTTGTAAAACAACTCGTTAAACCATAAAAATCATGTTTGAGGTTTGGGATGGAAAAAGAACCCAAAAAAATATTAGGGTAAGCAAAATGTGCAGATGCATCAATGTTTTCAGTTTTGAATTGTTTTCAGTTTTTACATTTCTCATTAAATCATCGTCTAGCTTTGTGAGGTAAAATTAAAGTCTGTCGTGTTATTTGAACGGAAACTTTATAAGTTTTCAGTTTATCTTCTTTTTTGGTTTTAATCGTTTTTATATAATTATATGTCACTAGATTTTAGGCATTTTCTAAATTTTGTGATGCGAAGTTTTTTTTTGTTCTTGACTCTTACGATCTTGTATAGTGTGATACAGTCAGTCCAGTTTTGTTGTCAACTAAAGTCACTCATTTTTGTGCTAAGTTTGTGTTCATTTTTGATTTTTTGTCGACTTTTTTGTGGCTCTCTTGTATTACATCCAAAGTGGTACGAAGCTCCGCTTTGCCTTTGTATAAATTGTTTATAATATTTCATTGCAGCTTTTGGATTTCTAGAACTCACTTTGCAGTTTTTTCGCTTGTGTTTGAAGTTTTATTTCAAAACTTTACAAGAATATAAGAAAGCAGCAGAATAATTCAAGAAGAATTAATCTAAAACTTATATTTTTAGTTTCTCGCCAATTTTTTCCAGCGAAAACTGTGATCGTGACTCGCTACTTTCCCAGCAACCTGTTGCTCGTGTTGTCTTTGAATTTACAGCTATTTTGTGCGATATTTTGTTTCAAATTTATCCCGAACTAAATAAACTGAAACTTAAACTAACATGCGTGTACAACCTTGCTTTAGGTATTTCAAGTATCGGTAGGAAATTTCTGCTTCTTTCGAGAACGGGTGAAAATTAAAAGACTAGAAAAAAATGCAGTATAAATTTTATAAGCAATTAAATGATTCATGCTGTAATCTAACAGTGTTCTTTTTTGATGTGCTTGAATTTATATGCAATGACTATGTCTCAGGGGTTGTGGGACTCGATATGAATTGTTTCAAAGAACTGTTGAATAAAAAGTTTGAAGGTATTTTGAGGTGATACTTTCAATGGGTATAAAACGGCACATGAGATATTTTGCCGTGCAATCTTCGAAACCCTCTTCGAACTGCGAATCTTAATTTACAATCCTCAGTGTCTAAGTGACATTATGGTGCCACGGTGGTGACGGTGCCCAGCAGTCATTTGACTGCGGTTTAAAATCGCACGTGCACTGCAATTTGCTAGGTTAGCTCTTGCAAGTAAGTCATTCCTCTATGTGCTCTAAACATGAACCTCTAGGCAGGGGCCGATCTAGGATTTTCTCAAGGGGGGCAGATTTTCAAGGGGGGCAGATTTTCATGGGGGGCAGACCTTTTTTTAGGTCAACCAAATTGATCTTTCGAGCTCTCCCTAAGCACAGTTTAGTCCCTGTTTCGGCCAAATTTTCTGCGCCGCAGGCAAAATTTTGAAAAAAAACAGTCCAAAAAAAGCGTTTTTGGAAAATGTTGACCAAAAAATCGCTATTTTTTGGAGCGCGCTCCTACCTATAAAATTAGTATATATTGGCACCGAAGGCACCTTCAGAAAATTTTTAGGGTCGGTCGGCCAAAAATGGATTTCTTAAAAAGTACCAAAGGGGGGACCCTTTGGGTCGGCAAGAGGTCGAATCCATGAGAAGAAGGGCATCCGCTGCCCCCCCCCCCCCGCCTAAATCCTTAAATCCGCCCCTGCCTCCAGGTAAGACCTGTTGCTGTTTGCCTGAAAAATTTTCGGAAAAAAATTATATTATGGACCAATTCAATAAACTGCAATGCCTTCTAGTTTTTGATCATGACCTTAGTCTGGATTTTGCGGTCGTGGATTCGAAATGAAAATTTGTTTTAAAAAAAACAAAGATCTAGAGACATTTCTATTTAGGCATGGAAACTACGACCAGCACATAAGTGATGCGCGCGAGATCATTCGCGAGCACTCATCATCAAACACCTCTTTGCAGCGTACAAATTCAAGCAACTCAGGCAACAGACGGCCTGCAATTGTCGATTGGAGAGTGAATGGCCATTATGAACAGGGCAAGTTTCCGAACGAGAAAATGTTTTTGAGAAACGGTCTTTTCTGTTAAATTGTTCCTTTTTTGTTCGTGGAATTGAATCATAATGATAGAATCTATTTTTTGGAAAAAATATCATCAAAACCGAAACAATCTATTCGGATATTTTGGGCAGAACAACAGAAAAGGCCAGCGCTGGAATTTGTAAATTTACTGGTTTAGATCCGTATGTAATTAATTTTTGGTTTAGATCCGTATGAGAGCAAATATGAGCAAATATTGTAAGTATGATGAAATAGTTTTTTTTTTTTAATTTTTCACACCACCCAAGGGGCTCAAATAATGTTAACTGATTAAGAGTTGATGAACATAGTTCACACTCTTATAGAAGTCTTAAATTTGTTAAAAGAAAGGCAAAATCCACTATCAAACAGCAAAATGGTATATACGTCACGAAAAACGTGATCTTAACGTTTATGGAAATTTTAGCAAAAAAAAAATTTCAATTGAGTTAGTTTTAGCAAAAATATGTCAATCATATCTTTTTCTTGAATTTCAAAGAGCTTTAAGGCATCTAAATTTTCTTCGAAATTCGAAAATGAATTTTTTTTCAAAAAACAAGCCAGTTTTTTTGTTAACTTGTGTCAATTGACTCTTTTCCAATTCTCTGTTGGCTATGTTCTTATCCTTAAGCTCTCAAATTAATAGATTAAAAAACTGTGGTTCTGGATAAATTTTGCTCAGATTAACGAAATTGATGTTCAGTGTTTAATGATAATTTTATTTTCAAGCAAGAAACTTATTACCATTCATTATATAAAATTGAAGGCTTACAATTTAGTTAGGCAATTTTGTTATTGATTAGCAAAAAGGCGTATTTTAGGCCCATAATCGCGCCCCTAATTAGACGAAGTTATTTATCACTAACCCAAAACGCTTAATTCGAACTTTGTTCGAATGCCACTTTGGTTGCCATAGAAATTATCTCAAAAGTTTTAAACTTGTTGAAGAAATTCATCAATAGAAAAATCATTTCTCAATTTTTAAAACGGATTTGACAAAAAAGAAGTTAAATGGCGAAGTTCAACTTAAACCTGACGTTGATTTAGAGATGTTGAAAGAGAAGACCGCGCTGCTCTTGTGATTGAGTTATCGAACAAGGCATTAACTACAAACAGAGTAGTGCATCACAATGGAACGAGTAAACCTCCCTTTGTTCCCCTCAAAACATCACCAGCCGGGGATTCTCTGGACTCCTGGCAGGAATCATCAATCTCGAACGACAACCGCGAGGCCTTCTTCCAGCTTCCCGAACAGCCCAAGATAAAAGCGGATCCGAACCAAAGCCTCGATGCTTTCTTCGTCCACATGGTGTCGCCTTTGAAGTTTTTTGTTCATCTGGAGAACGAGGAAAAAGTTGACGTACGTTTTTTGCTCAATGGCAGATTATATATGCAACAATTTTGGTTTTGAAGATTTGCAGGTATTTTTTTGGCTCCAAGAAATCAAGTTCTGGTGTTCTCTCTGGAATCTTTGCCAACGATAAATTCTAAATACCCATCTCCTCCTTTTCTGCCTCGAAAAAATTAAAAATTAAGATCTTTCACAGATTTAAGATCGTAACTGTGAGATTTGATGTTGCGAGTTAGCTGTTTAAAATCTATTTAATAACATTTTTGTTTTCAGTGATAGAAATTTGTTATTTTATAACGTTTCTGTTCTCAGTGATAAAAATGCCTGATGGCGATTTTGTTATCGAAATGCATTGTGATGTTTAATAGATTTCTGTTTTTGTTCTGGTTTGTTTCTCCTGCCCATTCAAGTGAGTTCATATTTAGGAACTTATGTCTTTGTGTCTGCAGTGCTCTAAAGTCAGTACGAATGTTTCGAAAAGCGAATTGCAAGATGGTCAGTTGTTACTCTACGAAACAAGGTTTGACGACTCCTGGTGTCGGGCGCAGATGCTTCCGAACAATGAAGTGCTAATGGTCGATTTCGGATCGCGAGATCCCTTTGAAGAACACAGGGCGCGGGAAATGCCGAAAGAGTTGACCAGGTATCCAGTTATGATCAGACAATGTAAACTGGCTAATATCCAGCCAGAAAAAGGCACCTGGTCGGCGGATGCGAACAAGTTGATGCAAGATCAGTGCGATGGCGAAGAGTTGTCGATTGTTGTGCGCGAGTTGAAGTATAATTCGATTGCTCAGAAAAACCCCATCTTGATAGTGGATGTTACAGTAGCTGGAGTGGATTTAGCCGAGATTTTAGAAAAGGCTGGATACGCAAAGCGTACTGCCAAAAGCCAATATCAGGTACTCAAACTTTAGTTTAATGAACAAAGTAAACGAATTGCTCCAACCAAACACGAAGTGGGAATAGCAATTGCGTAGGTTGTTTATTTTCTCCCAACTTTTCCCTTACATTGGCTAGATTGACCTCAATATTGCAGTTTTTTTATCTCAGCCAATTACCTCATTAATCACTTCAATAAAAATAACAAACAAATAGAATTTAAGAAAAAAAAACTGCAAAAAAATGTCTAATGATTTTTGGTTGCAAGTTCTCTATGTGGACTACTGTGATCGGAACATTCTATGCTACTTGCACAGCAAACGGCTATCCTTGTAGATGATTAGATTCTATTGTATATTTTTAAAGTTCTAATTGAGTCAATATCAGGCGGAAGTGAATTAATTATTAATGAACGAATTGGTTTTCAACTTGGTAAGGTCGTAATTTTTTCAAAAATGCTATTAGTCTCAACATTTGTATAGGAACTTTTTTTGCCATTTTGGGGGCTAGATTTTGAATACTTCTGTGATCGGAATGCTTTGGAGCTAGCGGGTTCCTTTCTTTTATTCCATAGATTTAATAGGTTTGAGTGCTGAGGGACGAAATGATGTAGCAGAGTTTTTTTTCAGGAAAAAATCCCGAAAATTTTATTTATGCTCACATATCTTTTCTCGCGCTTTGAGTTTTGATTTTTTCTTTTGGTTAATATTATCAAAAAAGTGTCAATCACCAATTGGTCTAGAAATTAAAAGAGCTTTAAGGGCATCTATTTTTTATTTGAAATCGGAAATTTGATGTTTTTTTTTTCAAAAAACAAGTCGTTATTTGTTTTGTGTTTCTTTACGTTCATTGACTCTTTTCCAACTATCTGTTGGCTATGTTTCTGGGTTTTCTTGAGTACATTGAATCGCCTTTTTTTCTTCTGACTTCAAACAGTTCATCTATATTATCAGAACTGCAGTATCGTATTTATTTAATTCAGGTTGTTATTAGTGAGCTCTCATGGAAGTTGCATGGATAAAAATCGTTTATAATGGATTTTTGTTGACTAAAATGTTGTCTATGTAATCAATTATCATGGCAAATTTAGACAACGTGATGGATTTTTAATCCATTATAATCGATTATTTTCGAAAAATAAAAAATACAATAAAATCGATTACAATCCATTTTTGTTTTCAATTTGATGGATTATTTTTTAAACATAAAATCCATGAGAATTGATTGAATTTTGTAAATAATGGCTATACTTTTTGCAAATTTCTGCAAAACTTGAACGAATACGTTCATCCAGGGGCGGCCAGAATGTAGTAATTTTGAAGAGGCCAATATATAGAAGTTTTTCTAAAAGCCCAAAAACTGCATTTTTGACAAGTTCCCTACGTACCCCCCCCCCCACACTTACAGGAAAAACGTGAAAAAGGAAAATTTTGATGACTTTCAAAAATCGTAAAGTTTTCATCGTTTTCACAATTTTTGGGATTTTTTTGGAAAAATTTCACTTTTCTGAAATTTTGATGAAGAAAAATAACTAATGATCGCAAAAAAGGCAAAAAAAAACACAAAAGATTTGAAAATACCCCCCCTAACGTACCCTGAAATTTAGCGAGAGAACAAAATAACTAACTTAGGTTTAACAATATTACGAAGAAATGAAAAAAAAACAAAAGATTTAAATAAATGGATTATAATCCATTATAATCGATTAAAATGGATTATTTTTCTTTTGATAAAATTTTTTGAAAATAAGTTGAATATAATTGATTATAATCGATTAAATTGGGATTTTATTGCTTAAAAAGTATTATCATTATAATCCATTTTCAATCAATTTTAATTGATTATTTTTGTTAATTTATAGAGACTTGCAATGAAAATCCAATATAATCGATTATTATCCATGAAACTTCTGTGCGGGAGCGAATCTTCCTGCCAATCTTTTCCTTGTGTTTGTTTGATTTCAGGCCACGCAGCAGAAACAGAGCCCTGGGCTGTCTACCATTGCTGCAATCAGTCCGGGTTATTCCAAAATTAACAACTGGTTCTTCCAGAACGCAGAAATCTGTGCTGCAGATGCGAATAAATCAGAGCTGATTAGTCTTCACGAAGAACAGTGTGAGGTTGCAGAGAAAAATATTCGGAAATGGAACAAAATATCTCTCAAAGGTACGAATAGATGAAACCGTAATAGATAGCAAACGGTTATTATATAGTAGTTTTGATTCCATAGAGCAATTTTTGTCAGATTTTTCAAGCAGTCAGAATGCAGCAAAGTTTGAATTCTCAATACAGGCTCTCGCTCCAGTGCCAATTTACTGGATTTATTTATAGGGGTGGAGGTTCTTTAGTAGATACCATCGGGGGGATTGTTAAGTACATCCCAAATGTTTAATTAATTTAGAATAATTCTAAGAGGTTCAACAGTATAATCAGCTCTCTAGCGCTAATGACTTTTATCTCGTTGAATCATTTAACGGATGAAATCAAATGTGTGAACTGAAAACTCATTCGAAATGCTCAAAAACATAGTTTTACAAATAGATATGAAGTTGAGCTATAAAATACAGTCAGCCAAAACATGTAAATGCATGATCTGACGATTCATGACTAAATTGGCGGTAGCAGTCTCATTTTGGTAAGGTTTCCTTAGTTTTCAATTTCCATCTGCCGTTTATCAACTGTTTAATGTCTATCCTCTTCAGATTCTTTCTGATAGTTTTTGACTATAGTTTTCTCCTTTTTTCACAGCTGGACATAACGAAGTTGGACATTTTTCGTTATTTAACCATAAAAACTTCCAGACTCCTTTTCATTTGGTCCAGAGGCAACGCGGTTGTCTTTGAGCCTTAAGAGGTCTGCCAGACCTTGTTTTTTCAGTGTATGAAATTATTTTTTTTCTGAAAACATTGAATTGTCGGACATTCGTATGTCCGTCCACTCATTTTTTGATGGCTTAATTCCCAAAGCATGGATTTTTTAATTGAATAAATTCATACTTAATTGACAGTCTTCCTGTTTCTAGTGTCTTCTATATGTTTTAAATGTTCGCAGCGATAACTCATTTTTTCATTGTTATAGCTGTCTTGTTACACGAGCGAGTAGCTAGTGTTTTAGTACGAACCTTTTTGTCTAACCTAGCTCGCAAATAAAAGTGTTCCTTCAAAGTGGAAAGTGTTCAGTTATTTGGTGGCCCTTTGCTATAATCACGATCTAGCATTGGAAATTTCATAGCCTCTGTTCTCTCTTTTGTTTCTGGCTAGTGTTTGTGATCAATTAAGCGTTAGTGGTTGGGTGGTTAGTGCGTGAGACCCAAATTTATTAGGTCGCTTATTCGAATCCGAGACGTAGCCGCGTTTTTACTCATTCGAGGCTTATTTCTACTTCTTATTACACTTCATAGAGCTGCTTTTTATCGTGTTCTCGCTAGTGTTTGCGAAGCAAAGCTTCGCCTCTGTGTTATAGTTCAGTGTTATAGCTTGCTCATCTTTAAGACGTTTGCGAAATGACTTATCTTTTTGTTATTACACATCAAGCTAGCCGTAGTGTTAAATTACGAATCCATTTTTTCCACCCAACTCGCAAATAAAAGAGCTCATTTGGTAACACTTTTGCTGCATAGCATTGGAATTTCAAAAACAGAAGCGAGAATGTGACTTTTTTTATCTCAAGTTTGGAAAATCGATCCCGGCATATGGCGAAAGCTCATTATGTCTTTTTCCTCTCATTTCACTTTTTTCTTTTCAGAGCTTTTTTCCGTTTTCTTGCTTGTGTTTGCGAAGTTCAGCTTCGCCTCTGTGTTTATATTTCAGGCGTTTCCAGTGATAATCTATTTTTTAATTGATAATAGTGATAATTCCAGATGACGTTGATTGGGCAAGTCTCTTAGTTCCAAGTTTGCCTGGCCAAGAAAAGGATGCGTTTGACTGTGTCTTAACTCACGTCAAGGATGACGGCACTTGTTATCTTCAGTTTAGTTCCTTAAAAGGGACAGAGTATCTGAAGGAACTTCTGCTGCAAGTGAACGAAAAGACGAGCTTAGACTGCATCAGAAGTGTTATATCGCAGCCTGAATGTGGCAATTTATATGCTGTATATGATTGGATAAATCAGATCTTTGCTCGAGCAATTGTGACTTCAGTTGAAATAGATTATGTAACAGTGTTCTTCATCGACCATGGTCATACAGTTAATGTTGACATTGACTTCATTAGAGACTCGCAGCCTTTCCAACCTGCCTTTTCCAATCTTCCGTGCCAAGTTGCACCTGTTAAAGTAGCCAATGTGGAATGGCAAGATGCCTTGTCTCTAGATTATCTGGACATTTTAATGAAGGAGCAAAGAAGACTGAAATGTTGGTGTGTGAACGAATTCGATCAGTCTACTGTGAATCTGAAGCTGTCAGATGGTCGAATCCTGCGGGACGCATTAGAAGAACTAAAACCGAAGGAATGCTACGAAGGCGAATCCGTTGTTTGTGAGTAACAGACATAAAAGACAATTTATGAAGATCAAATGAAGTTAACAAATCGGTGGCCAGTTTTTACGATACGTTTTTCTGCTGATGTTTTTAGTGATAAAATTCTTTGTGATTGAATATTGAAATTGTCCATATTGATCTATTTTAGCGCTGTTAACTTTTTCGCCGATCAAAACATTAATTTAGTTGAAGGACAAAACAATTTGTATTTGATCAAATTTGTCTTAGGGTCTTGTTTGCTCAACTCTATTTCTGTGTACTATAGTATGGCATGCAATTCCATCATTAGTTGGCCACCAGAAGATAATTTAATGAAATAGATGGCTTTTGCAAAGGTATGGGGGCGAAAAGATGAGAAGAAATTTTAGGGAGTCCAATTTAACAATCCTAACAGCTTAGAATCTCTGTGAATGTGATACTAGTGTTACTCGCCCTGTCCCTTTTTGTGAAGTGCATTGTGTTGTGTTGTTTGAATGTTAGACCGTGACTTTGGCTGTTCGGCCCACCTGCACCACACAGTGTCTCTGTTCGCCAACTCGCTACACCCCTTTCACCAGATCACTCCCGACCAGGTGCTCACACATGGCCACAAGGTCAGCTTCCAAGTGGTGGCACTCACTGCTGGCAGACACATGCGGGTGGTGGAGACTGCACTGGGCCAGAAGTATTTCCGCCAGTTGAGTCCAACACTCGAACAAGCATGCAAAGGTACGACAAACATTAGCTGCACAAAATTGAAACATATCTCTCATTTATCCTTCACAAGTCAAGTTAGCATTGGTATCAAAAAATTTGGAAACCACTCAAAGCTGGAAAACCTGAGAGGTTTCGAAAGATGTCTTGTTAAAGGCTTCAACTACTCATGTTCGGCTTAATCTATCCTTGTCGGTTATCCGATGTTTTTGCGTGACTATTCAAACATTTCAAGAAATTGGTGGATCTAGTTTATTTGAGGACCACAGTGTCCTTTAGAGAATGAAGTGGCCTTTTTTTAGAAGGTTTAATGGTTTGATTTTGGTGCTATACTCTCCGATTTTGCAGAGTTGGGCCAGGAAAGTGCGAATCTGAGCTCTCTGAAGTGTGGATCCTATTTCCTGGTTCGATGTCCCGTAGACAACGTCTACAACTCTGATGAGAATCACAATGACGTCGAGACGAAATTCGCCTACCATAGATGCAAATTAGCCAGTCATGTGGAAGATTTTGTCTTTGCGCTGAACGACATAGACTCGGGGGAGATTGTGTTTGCACACAGACGGAATATTTTCGTGCTGCCGTCTCAGTTTTATGGACCCGATTTCCCCCTAGTGACCTGGGACGCATCCTTCATTATGTCGGACAAAATACTCGATGTAAACTTTGTCGGGCAAGAGTTAGAGTGTACGGCTGTGTACCCGACCAAAACTTCGGTCCATTTCATATACCCGGACTACTTAGCTTTTTGAAACTATTTCTGCTCGACGCAAAATTTTCATTTTAATTTTACTCCTTATTTGTTTTGTTTAATTGATCGGATCAATTAATATATTTCATCTTTTGTGCCCGCACTTAACAGTCTAACTGAACCAATTGGTAGGGAAAGTGACCAGTTATCCGTAAAAGATTGTTTGGTTCACAAACATGCGTCATTTGGGCGTTTCTGTGTCGATAATTTAGAAAAATGATACAAATATTGTTTTTAATTTCATTTAAATTTATTTGCTAACAAAAAGGCAAATGACACTTTTTCCGACTTTGAAAGTGGAAAAAGTGCAAAAAAGGTCAACGACTTCTAGCTTCGAAGGTGGATATTAATTAAGATATGGATATTAGATTTGAGATATAAGGATTTTTCAGAGGATCAAAAATTAGCTATTAATCCAGTTTTTTTTTCAAATTGGATCAATTTAATCCAAAAAATGTCAAGCATAAAGACTTTAAGGCCATCCACTTTTTCTTTGATTTTCGAAATTTGACGTTTTTTTGGTTTCTGTGCGTTCATTGACACTTTTCCATCTGTCTGTTGGCTCTATTTTTTTCTAGAAGTTTGGTCACGAGCAAATTGTTTATTTTAGCTGTTTGACTTGTGATTTCTTTTGTCGTTTAGCTCAAATTCATTTGCTAAACGCAATGCAGTTTACGTACGTTTGCCATTATCACAATGCTAAGGCGTGTGTTATAGAGCTTGATTTTTGTTGAAAATTATTTTTTTTCAGAATTCCCTGTAGAATTAATGTTTTTTCGTTGATTCAGTTTTCAAACAGTAAACAGTGTTCATCATTACAAAAAAAAGATCAAAGAAAAGATCTTGTGAGTATTGAATAGCGAAATTTGATATATTGAAGAAACACTGTCTTTGTAAATATAGTTCTGGAATTAATTAACGTTTTTCCAATGCAGGCTGTGTTAACACAGTTTTTGAATAATAAAAAATAACTTGACTTAGTAAAAAAATCATTTGTATATAATATGAATTTATTGCAGAAAATTGATTTCGCTGCAGGATAATTTTCTGTGTCGATAATTTAGAAAAATGATACAAATATTCAAAATTGATTTTCTTAGGAGTATACAAAAATCCTCGAACCATCAGGATTTTTGATCTTATCAATAAGTAGTGCTGGGAAAAAAAGAGTAAAATGCAGTCAGACAAAGAGACATGGGTTGTCCGCTCACGCAAAGGACCGGAAATAAGACCGACGCCCCATAACCAGTTTCAAAACGCACAAAATTTTAACGAAGCAATTCATTTGAGAAAACGACCTTGGCTGAACTTGATTGACAGTTTTCTGTCAACATTGTATTTTGTCAAAAGGCCAAACTTAATGTACGCGCTCAAAACCCCCGGTGCTGGAAAATTTATGTAATCCTTAAGTGAATGCGAATTTATAGTGTTTCTCGAGCCATTTAAAAGCCGTAATTTTGAAACTGTTTCGTTTCAGTTGTGTTAATTACTTAGACTACATTGTTTCGTCGATTTCTATTTTCGTCACACTTTTTTCTACTTGATCGTACCTTAATGAGATCAGATAATCATTGACAGGTAGTGCTGCAACTAAACCACTGTCTAGTCTCATCCACTGAGACTAAAGAAAGTGACTGCATATAAGTTAGTTAAGAGGGAGCAGCTCCTGTTCTTCTTGGCAACAGATGCAACCCAACCATTCTCCAGTCTCATCTACTGATACTAAAGACAGTGACTGCATATAAGTTAGTTACGAGGAGGGAGCAGCTCCTGTTCTTCTTGGCAACAGATGCAACCCAACCATTCTCCAGTCTCATCTACTGATACTAAAGACAGTGACTGCATATAAGTTAGTTGAGAGGAGGGAGCAGCTCCTGTTCTTCTTGGCAACAGATGCAACCCAACCATTCTCCAGTCTCATGTACTGATACTAAAGACAGGGACTGCATATAAGTTAGTTAAGAGGAGGGAGCAGCTCCTGTTCTTCTTGGCAACAGATGCAACCCAACCGTTCTCCAGTCTCATCTACTGATACTAAAGACAGGGACTGCAAATAAATTAGTTAAGAGGAGGGAGCAGCTCCTGTTCTTCTTGGCAACAGATGCAACCCAACCGTTCTCCAGTCTCATCTACTGATACTAAAGACAGTGACTGCATATAAGTTAGTTAAGAGGAGGGAGCAGCTCCTGTTATTCTTGGCAACAGATGCAACCCAACCATTCTCCAGTCTCATCTACCGATACTAAAGACAGTGACTGCATATAAGTTAGTTGAGAGGAGGGAGCAGCTCCTGTTCTTCTTGGCAACAGATGCAACCCAACATTTCTCCAGTCTCATGTACTGATACTAAAGACAGGGACTGCATATAAGTTAGTTAAGAGGAGGGAGCAGCTCCTGTTCTTCTTGGCAACAGATGCAACCCAACCGTTCTCCAGTCTCATCTACTGATACTAAAGACAGTGACTGCATATAAGTTAGTTAAGAGGAGGGAGCAGCTCCCGTTATTCTTGGCAACAGATGCAACCCAACCATTCTCCAGTCTCATCTACCGATACTAAAGACAGTGACTGCATATAAGTTAGTTGAGAGGAAGGAGCAGCTCCTGTTCTTCTTGGCAAAAGATGCAACCCAACCATTCTCCAGTCTCGTCTACTGATACTAAAGACAGTGACTGCATATAAGTTAGTTAAGAGGAAGGAGCAGCTCCTGTTCTTGGCAACAGATGAACCCAACCATTCTCTAGTCTCATCTATTGATACTAAAGACAGTGACTGCATATAAGTTAGTTAAGAGGAGGAAGCAGCTCCTGTTCTTCTTGGCAACAGATGCAACCCAACCATTCTCCAGTCTCATCTACTGATACTAAAGACAGTGACTGCATATAAGTTAGTTAAGAGGAGGGAGCAGCTCCTGTTCTTCTTGGCAACAGATGCAACCCAACCGTTCTCCAGTCTCATCTACTGATACTAAAGACAGTGACTGCATATAAGTTAGTTAAAAGGAGGGAGCAGCTCCTGTTCTTCTTGGCAACAGATGCAACCCAACCATTCTCCAGTCTCATCTACTGATACTAAAGACAGTGACTGCATATAAGTTAGTTGAGAGGAGGGAGCAGCTCCTGTTCTTCTTGGCAACAGATGCAACGTAACCCTTCTCCAGCATCATCTACTGATACTAAAGACAGTGGCTGCATATAAGTTAGTTAAAAGGAGGGAGCAGCTCCTGTTCTTCTTGGCGACAGATGCAACCCAACCATTCTCCAGTCTCATCTACTGATACTAAAGACAATGACTGCATATAAGTTAGTTGAGAGGAGGGAGCAGCTCCTGTTCTTCTTGGCAACAGATGCAACCCAACCATTCTCCAGTCTCATGTACTGATACTAAAGACAGGGACTGCATATAAGTTAGTTAAGAGGAGGAAGCAGCTCCTGTTCTTCTTGGCAACAGATGCAACCCAACCGTTCTCCAGTCTCATCTACTGATACTAAGGACAGTGACTGCATATAAGTTAGTTAAGAGGAGGGAGCAGCTCCTGTTATTCTTGGCAACAGATGAACCCAACCATTATCCAGTCTCATCTACCGATACTAAAGACAGTGACTGCATATAAGTTAGTTAAGAGGAAGGAGCAGCTCCTGTTCTTCTTGGCAACAGATGCAACCCAACCATTCTCTAGTCTCATCTACTGATACTAAAGACAGTGCCTGCATATAAGTTAGTTAAGAGGAAGCAGCTCCTGTTCTTCTTGGCAACAGATGCAACCCAACCATTCTCCAGTCTCATCTACTGATACTAAAGACATTGACTGCATATAAGTTAGTTGAGAGGAGGGAGCAGCTCCTGTTCTTCTTGGCAACAGATGCAACCCAACCATTCTCCAGTCTCATCTACTGATACTAAAGACAGTGACTGCATATAAGTTAGTTGAGAGGAGGGAGCAGCTCCTGTTCTTCTTGGCAACAGATGCAACGTAACCCTTCTCCAGCATCATCTACTGATACTAAAGACAGTGGCTGCATATAAGTTAGTTAAAAGGAGGAAGCAGCTCCTGTTCTTCTTGTCAACAGATGCAACCCAACCATTCTCCAGTCTCATCTACTGATACTAAAGACAGTGACTGCATATAAGTTAGTTGAGAGGAGGGAGCAGCTCCTGTTCTTCTTGGCAACAGATGCAACCCAACCGTTCTCCAGTCTCATGTACTGATACTAAAGACAGAGACTGCATATAAGTTAGTTAAGAGGAGGGAGCAGCTCCTGTTCTTCTCATGTACTGATACTAAAGACAGAGACTGCATATAAGTTAGTTAAGAGGAGGGAGCAGCTCCTGTTCTTCTTGGCAACAGATGCAACCCAACCGTTCTCCAGTCTCATCTACTGATACTAAAGACAGTGACTGCATAGAAGTTAGTTAAGAGGAGGGAGCAGCTCCTGTTATTCTTGGCAACAGATGCAACCCAACCATTCTCCAGTCTCATCTACCGATACTACAGACAGTGACTGCATATAAGTTAGTTAAGAGGAAGGAGCAGCTCCTGTTCTTCTTGGCAACAGATGCAACCCAACCATTCTCTAGTCTCATCTACTGATACTAAAGACAGTGCCTGCATATAAGTTAGTTAAGAGGAAGCAGCTCCTGTTCTTCTTGGCAACAGATGCAACCCAACCATTCTCCAGTCTCATCTACTGATACTAAAGACATTGACTGCATATAAGTTAGTTGAGAGGAGGGAGCAGCTCCTGTTCTTCTTGGTAACAGATGCAACCCAACCATTCTCCAGTCTCATGTACTGATACTAAAGACCGGGACTGCATATAAGTTAGTTAAGAGGAGGGAGCAGCTCCCGTTCTTCTTGGCAACAGATGCAACCCAACCGTTCTCCAGTCTCATCTACTGATACTAAAGACAGGGACTGCATATAAGTTAGTTAAGAGGAGGGAGCAGCTCCTGTTCTTCTTGGCAACAGATGCAACCCAACCGTTCTCCAGTCTCATCTACTGATACTAAAGACAGTGACTGCATATAAGTTAGTTAAGAGGAGGGAGCAGCTCCTGTTATTCTTGG